TTAATATTATGGGTTACAAAAAACCAAAAAATTACGATCATGGATTACAAAAAAATAAAAACAATTCGATCATGGATTACAAAAAAATACGATCAAGTATTACAAAAAAATACTATCATGGATTAAAAAAAAAAAAAAAAAAAAACCGTAACGGACTCATCGATTCACTGTTCGGACTCGCCGATTCCGTACAGTGAATCGGCGATTCACTATACAGAATCGTCCGGTTCTCTCTAGAACCGGACGATTTTCAATTTTTTAGGCGATCCGGTCCCCTTTTCACGATTTTCGAGTCCGGTTCGACTCGGCGTTTTTTAAAACACTGCCCTAAACAATCAAATTAGGGCGCACTTCAAAAATTCATCGGGGCAGTTGTTTGGATGCTCTTGAGAAAAATCTAACTCGCGGAAATAATGCATCCTCTAATGTATTATCTAAATCGTTAATATTCAATATTTTTTAAATATTTATAGATCTACTCAATTTAATTTTTTTTTAATTATTTAATTTTATAATTAGATATAAAAATAAATTTTTAAGCCATTATAAAAAAATTTAATATTCAAACGGTATATTTTAATACTATTTGAATATGCGCCTTATTTCGGTTGTTTGGAGCCTCAGTTTTATACGAACCACAACCTTATATAAGACGTGGAAAGCTTTAAGTGAGATTTTGTTCAAATGCCGCCCCTTGAAAGAACAAGACATTTAGGGTTAGAACACATTTGAGAATCACTATTTAAGTCTCTCTAGATTAATTTTCATGCGAATTTCATGATTTGGCAGCTCAAAATTAATGCAGATCTAATATTGTAAAATAATTATAATAAAGAATGGAATGCAAAGTTTAAAATAAATTATTTTTTTATATTCAAATCTAATTTTTTTAAATTCATGAATGTGGTAATTGAGATTATTAACTGCTATAATTTTAGGACCATAATCTATCTCTAATATTTAGCAAATACGTCATAACCCCATATACGAGAGGAAAGGGGATGGGTCGTGGTGGTAGCACCCCCACACCTCAGCAATCACATTGTGGTTTCCATTCCCGTTGAGACCACTCCGCTAACACCGTAAACAAAATTAACTCCTAAACTATTTGAAGAAATTGGTAGGGATTGGGTAAGGTTTAGATGCGCATGGGAACGTACAAAATTTATTGTATGTCAGCCCACATACAATAATTTTTCATGAGCTGAATTTTATAGATTTAAGATATGAAATACATGATATGTGTAGCCGACCCCAATTAGTTGGAAAAAAAGCACTGGCAATGATAATTATGATGATGATATGAAATACACCCTAAAACTCTAAAAATGCATTAGAGAAGCCCAAGAAGCAATGAGGTTTCGAGCGACTAGTTCATGGAGCTGTGGAGGGTAATCACACTCGTCCTTTGGTGGGAAGGTTAGGAGCTACAACCCCCGACGCTCATGCTAAGATTCATGATGAGTCGTCTCAGGGGAGCATCAGGTTGGAGGAGAATGACTTTGAAGCTGCTACCATAGGGAATATACCGAAGGTTATTACCATCGACCCCAAGACTCGGCTCATTCAAGCTGGCTATGGTGAGCTATTTCTGCCCATCTATTTTGAATTTGAGCCTTTTTGAGGAATGGGCTCGGAAAGCCTGGAGATGCTAGGTGGTGAGCCGGACTATCCCTGGTAACCGGCTTCTTATTCTGTTTGGCCCCGAGGAAGATGCCAGTAGAGTGGCTAGGCAGAGGTTTTGGAGAATGCATGGATCTCTACTATCTTTGGAGTGGTGGAACTCCAAAGTTAATACCTCTCGGATCCAACCTACCTCGGTTTGGCTTAGGATACAAGGTATCTATCCAAGCTTGGACCAAGTCGGTCATTGAGAATGTTACTAAGGAATGTGGAGATTGACTGGTTCAAGACTGCGGGGCTATGGTTGGGGACTCTTAGAGCTAAGGTAGAGTGTTCTCCTGAAAGCATGATACTTGACAAGCTGATTTTGAAGTTCAATTATGAGTTCTTCATAGTGAGCATCCCCATCGCTTCTTCGTCCTCTGGATCTTTGGCTCAGTTGGAGGAAAAGCCAGTGCATCCTCTCTCCCGTTGGAGGGGTTTGAGTAAAAAACCAAAGGGGGGGAGGAGGAAAGTTGGCAAGTTGTAACTAAAAAAGGAAGAGGTCTGCCAAAGTTCCAAAACGCCAACCTTGCAAAAAGATGGTCAAAAAAAGGTGTGGAGGATGAAGGCACGACACATGTTCGTCCAACGACTCTAGTAGATCGTCACGCATGCATAATGATCCTAAAGGGAAGCAACAGATGGGTTGACGTGTCCAATCCCTTCTCGGCCCTTCGTAGCCTGGATGATGGAAATGCATCCAAATCTAGTCGTACGTCTATGGCCTCCCTAAGGGTTTGACAATGGCAGTGCCCCGATATCTCTCATATAGGCCTTCAGGTTGATTCGTCGACTGGAATTCTGGGTAGGTTTGATCTGTCGCGCTAAGTGGGACATGCCACTTCCTCTTGCTACCATCCAACGCCTAGCCTGCTTCCCACCCCTCCCAAGAAGTCGTCACCTGTTCCCAAGGAGTTCGCACCTCTAGGTATGGCCATCATACCTTTCTGCGAAGTGCCTTTAAATAGTTGTATAGAGCCAGGGGCGAATTCTAAAAACCGCATCTGGTTTTATCTTTTCTTTGCTACTCTCATATCATTTGGCAAGCAAATACTTAAACCTAAAACTCCTTCCACACAATCTATGGTTGCCCAGCGGATTACCATCACCGAACTTACTAATGAGGAGCCCATAGACATTATCCACCCTGCTCAGGTCTCAGAGCTTCCAGATGGGACCGCTAAGATGTCTTTCTCCACTTGGGAATCTGTCGCCTGACTGTGGCTCAGCTGTTGATAGAGGCTGAGCTTGAAGACCTCCACAAGACCCTCTTCTTGGCTTCCTCTCCCCACCACCTCCAATGCTTGTGAAGGAGTCCTCCGAGTCTTCCTCGGACGAGCTCTCCCCTAGATCGCAGAAATGGAGACCCAACAAGGAGGAGAATAAGAGAGTGGTTAGGGAGAAGGCCAGGGATATCATCAATTATATGGGTGTCAAGTTTAAGGGCACGTTTAAAGTGGTGGAGGAGGCCATTGATGTGGCTGAGATGGACTAACCCGCTCCCTTGAGGCCTCAGAGGATGCGTTCCCCGCTAAATAAAGAGGCTGATGCTCTCTTGGCAGAGCTTTCATTTGGCCCCTTTGTTGCTGGCTCTTCTGGAGTCACCGAGGGGGCGGGGGGTTAAGGACTTCAAGTCCTCGTGAAGGTTCTTTCATGGAATGTCGAGGATTGGAGGGGCCCATTAGGAGGAGAGCTCTAAAGCGGCTAGTAGTCGTTCATAAGCCACACATTTTATTCCTCCAAGAAACTAAGTTGGCATGCCCTGATGCCTCTTTGGTTAGGAACTTTTGGGGGTCTGTGGAGTTTGTTTTTACTTCTACTGTGGGCCAATCTGATGGCCTTCTAGTTTTTTGGGACCGTTCGGCTATGAAGGGTACCCTTTTGTCTTGCTTTTTCAGATGTTTGTCTGTGAAGTTCTCTATTTTGGGGCATGTGGACCTCATTGTTATCTCCACTGTATATGGGCCAAATGCTAGTAATGAAAAATTGTCTTCTTTTTGAAGTTGTGTTCTATTTTATCCCAGTCTCAGTTGCCTTGGTGTGGGGCTGGGCATTACAATCATGGACTATACCACCGAATATAGTGGTGGAGGTGTTTACGATGAAAATCTGACAGATCTTCCGATGAAGATCTCTCAAATTTTAACACCTTAAACTAATTAAAAAGATGTAAATATAGTGGTAGAGAAAGTGGGACAGATTGAATTCAGATCTGAGGCCAGATTTGCCCTTAAACGAGCAGATCTACTCTCAGATCTGTGGCAGGGCCAGCATGATTCAGAGCATTAAAATACAATTTTTAAGATAAGTTAACATATCAAAAATAAATAAAAGAAGCAAAACGGTAAAAAAAAGTAAAAAAAGAGAGGAAGAATTAATACCAAACTAGGCCGGATGACCCAGGATTCCCGAGCCTTCGAGGGCTCACCCCTATCAGAACCGATCCTCTTTGCCTCTCAAATTCGGATGTTGACTAGTAAATCTCTGGTGTAAAGGGTTATATCTAAGGTTGTTATGCCTTAATTCTAGTTTTGATCTAGGGTTTTTGTGCCCTATGTATAGGTTTTCTCAGTCTTGGGGGTTAGGACTTCAAGAGGCTAGGGTTTCTAACTTCTATAGGGTTTTTAATCTTGATATTTTTCTAAAGCTGTCAGTCTTTCTCGGGGTCTGGAGGAGAATTTATTTAGTTTTCTAGGGAAATTCTGATATTTTCTCTAATTTTTT